ACGAATAGATATGTTTCACTCAATTTTGTTACGAATAGATATGATTTCAACTTTTCAAGAAAACATATAAGATGTAATATCCTTTTCAAAATTTTGCTTATTAAAATGGTATATGGAGCCCTTTAAAAGTTAAAACCTAAGGATGGTTAATCTTGGATGATTATTGGGGAATATAAAATCTCATGTAAAAACACTATGAAGAATGAATTACTTTGTCATTATTTTAGAAACACATATAACAGTTAAAAAGAACGAATGATAAATTTAATAGGGTGTGTTGAAAATCAGGAAAATGATTTCTAAAACATGAGTTAATTTTAAAAAAAGATTTTCATTTTTAATATTTGATTGCATTTCAAAAATTATTTTCCAGATTTCTAAACATCCCCTAAAGTACAACAGTAATAGTATTTAAATTATAAAAGTAGAAATCAGTTTAGAATGAACTAAAGTTTGGCAAATAAACTTAGACATATGAAGTAATTTTATTTTATTTTTTGGTAAAAAAATAATTTGTTGGTTTATTTTATTTAGCATTTAATTCAACATTTGATAGTTAATAGTATTTTAAATATATTTTCTAAATTTAATTAAAATATTATCATAATTGAGATTAAGTAGAAAATTTATTCATTTACTCAACACTCGAAATAAACTTCCAAAACAAATATGCGGTGCTAAGTCAGCCAAATGATTAATCATTCATAAGTTCTATATTTTATATTATTTTTTTAATACTCAGATAGTTCTTTACAGGATAATATTTGTTCTATACTTTATTAATTATTTTCAGTTCAAAGAATCTAAAACTCATATCATCGGGATTGGATCTTGTGACCACCTATTTGGAATAGTAACATAGGCATCATCATATTACATAGTAATAATTGACATATAATATTATTTTCTAGTATATCTACTCTACTAAAAATGACACATCATAATATTATGTTTAATTAGGTACAGGTTGCATTCAGAAAAAAAAGGTACAGGTTGGTCAAATAAATTATTTTTTATTTACATATTTTCGTATATTTTTAAAATTAATTGTTTGTACTTAATAATATTTTTAATATAATGGTTAAATATATTGATAGTAACAGTAAATTAAATATTATAACAAATTATAAAAAATTATAGTTAAGTCTCGATAATTGAATTAGATGCATATAATAAAATGGATGGAATAAATTTTTAAAACATCTCTTACACTACATTATTGATGTGAAGAGATAATCGAAAATGCATTTTAATACTATTGTGGAAGATAACAAAATATGTAATAAATGCTGAAAAGAACCAAAGAATTAAAGAAGACAGATAAATTATGCATGGTAGATTGGAAGGTAGACAAATAATTAAGTTTGATGATTTGGACAATGCTAATTCACATGCATTTCACGTGTCCCCCCTCAATAACTCTTACCGACACTCATTAATTAATTAATGAGAAATGTTACCCACCATACAAAAATCAACCAAACTTTGTTACTCACAGATGTGACTATTTTTACGAGATTAGTTTATTATTCCATCTGTCCCATTTTATTTGTCCTACTTACTATTTATTGATTAAATTAATTTTAAATTTTTTTATTTATCTTTTTAGTATTTTTTATTTATTTTTAATTTTAATTTTTTGTGTTTAATAGTACTTTTAATGTAGTCTCTAAATATATAAATTTTGTATATTAATATTAAAATTAATATTATAAAAAATTAGATTAAAAGTAACTTTAGTCAAATTTCATTAATTGAACTAGACAAATAAAATGGAGAGAGTATTTTTTTTTTCTTTTCAAATTTCAACTTACTACACAAGTTGTCTCATCATGTACGTGTCATAAAAATAGATGATTTTTGTAAGGACATGTAGCACTATTCTTAATTAATAGTGCATTTTTGCCATTTAATAACACGACATGTTTCAATTAATTATAATTTTTAATAAAATTTTAGAATACTAATATTGTATTTTAATCTGCATTCGGCGTTGTACGTTGTGCTTTAGGAGTTATATTTTAAGAATAAAGTACAATCCTACAAAGCATAGTTTTTTTCCCTTTCCTTTTCTTTCAACAAGGACATATGAGAGAGCTTTATTTTTAAGAGTAGTTTTATACATAATTTTCCTTGTATATATGTTCTACCAACTCCAACAAATTATGGAGCATTAGTTATTTGTAGAGAATGAAATATAAATAAATAAATATATACATTGGCGGACCTAGAAAATTTTCTCAGCGGGGGCGAAACATTAAAACAAAATGAATAGGTTAAAAAAAGTGAAACACTCAAAAGAAGTTAGCCATAAATATTGTTAAATATAAGCGAAAAATAAAGCACATCAAAACTTTATAGAAATATTTATAACAAAATATGAAACATAATTAATTTGATAAAATAATTATATATATATATATATGTGTGTGTAAGGTAGATTAATTCTGGATTTGCCTCCACCTCTCCGGATGTTGCCATGACATTCGTGCCTGCACCGTATACGAGTCAAGGTAGATCCCGCACCCCGAATGTTGCCATGACATTCGTGCCCGCACCGTATACGAGATGACATTAAACATTCGTGCTCGTAGGGTCAGCATATATGAGTCAAGAAAGAGAGCATCTATGATATATAATTCAATAAACATTAGAAAGGCTCTTGTATAAATTGTGTTGCAAACCCACTTTCCAAACCAATGTGGGACAAAGGCTACTTTAAATCATTTTCCCTTCATTTTCCAACTCAAATGGGTCTACTTTGAGAATCAATATCTCATTCACTCATTATCCATTTTAAGGGTACACCACATCAATCTCTTCATCTCATTACGAAGAACCCGAATCCACTTTGACTCTACCCAAATCGAAAGTGAATTTCACTAATAATTATACCACAAAATAGCCACTTAAAATACAATTTTATGGTATTTTTTCGAACAAATAACTCATTGCAAAATATTTTCTAACCTTTTAATAATAATAATAATAATAATAATAATAATAATAATAATACCAAAAACAACAACAACAAAAACAATAACGATGATCGAGATTTTATTTTTATATTATTATTGTTATTATAATTAAATTAGTGCACACACACACATATATATATATATATATATATATATATATATATATATATATATATATATATTGTTTTCTCTTTACGTAAATCAAACTTTATTTGTTGTAGCACAAATTTTATTTTTCTATTTCAATTTCTTTAATGAAAATGTACATTTTATTATAAGCTAATATAATATGTATGAGACAAAATAATTTCAATATATTTTAAGAATTTAATTAAATGCAAAATTTTCATTATCTAATCAGTCTTTTAGAATTTTTTTTTTTTTTTTTGGTTGCAAAATACCAATGAGAATTCACAAGGATTGAGGTCTACGATTGAGGTCTCAATCATATATACATGGAACACTTATGAATTCATATGTTATAACTTAATTGCATAACACTTTAGTTATTTTTCGACAAAATCAGTAATCTAGCCTATTATAATCATGTCACTTTTAACAACAAATAAGTTAAGTTTTGAAGTATTATTTGGAGTGATATCTACTACTAATAATTTAGATCGTTTCAAATAGATTTAGATTTTTCAGTAGTTTTAATTTAAAATGTTATAAAAATTGTCATTATCATAGTACATATAATTTTGTCGAGTGTCAAACTCATACATGAATGGAGTGACTTTTTTTTGCTCATAATAATTAGAGCACATGCTGATTTTCCTAGCTATATGTGGTGCTGAGGTTGAATAATATATGTGAACAGCAGTATAGAGACAACAGGAGTGCGGGACCCGGCAATTTATATCATGCACCAGGACGCTCATTGCATTGTGCGTCTTAGTACAAAACGACGTCGTTTTATATATATTTTTTAAATTTTGTTTTTCCGTGTTTGCTGTTAACTTGTTTAAAAAAAAGAGTAAATACCTAAAATGGTCCCTCGACTATAGCTAAATTCACAAATTGGTCCTCGACTTTCAATTTCAACCAATTAAGTCCTTAACTTTGTAATTTTAACACGATTTGGTCCTCCGTCTATTTGACTGTTTGTTGACTGTGATTTTTGAGGATATATAAGTAATTTCACGGTCCATCGTTGTTTTTTTAAGGTTCCGGTTGCATTCTCAGATCGCAATGTTACATTTGAATCCACTGCCGAAAGCAATCTACCAAATTCGGTCGCCTTTAGTAATAGTTGGACGTAATCATCTCCGTGCTAACCACCAGGGCGTTAGAGTTGGGGTGCACGTACAGGAGGTCACGTGCGAGATCGATCGAGATCAGGCCGGAGCTGCACCCCATGCCGGAGAGATTATAGCTTTTGATAGATAGATCGACGAAGTCCCCTGGAGCGGCTCTTCAAGAAAGCCGTGACTCCAAGCGATGTAGGCAAGCTGAATCGGTCAAATTTCTTTTAAGCTTTGTACGTGAAATTACATATATATCCTCAAAGATCGCGGTCAACAAACGGTCAAATAGACGGAGGACCAAATTGTGTTAAAATTACAAATTTAAGGACTTAATTGGTTGAAATTAAAAGTTGAGGACCAATTTGTGAATTTAGCTATAGTCGAGGGACCATTTTGGGTATTTACTCAAAAAAAAATTATGTTTTGAAAATGTACATAATTTTATACTAAAATGTACATAATTGTATATGAGAATGTACATAAACTTTTAACTGTTAAAAAAAAATCGCATGTTCGAATGTACATAATTGTATAAAAAATTATACATAATTGTATACCAAAATGTACATAATTGTATACCAGAATGTACATAATTATATAACATAATACACATACACCCTGTCGCGTCAACCTCTCACACAACTTATCAAAACGACGTCGTTTTGGGAGGCGCGGGATCCACAGTGCTATGTGCACCGTGGTTTAGGGTATAACGATTGGCGGGACCAGGTGGTTATCTCTAACTCAGTATAAATAGTGGTGTTTATGCAACCTGGTTTCCCATCCCATCCCCAAGCATAACAATCTTTTACTTGTTGCTTTTCTCTTACCATGGCTTCTCTCCCCGCCAAACTCATCCTCTCTCTTCTACTGTTACTCGGCATTGCAGCTGCGCCACTAAAAGCCCAGACCCTGAAACCCAAACCCAAGAAAGAGTTTGATTACTTCACCCTCTCTCTTTCTTGGTCTGGCACCAGGTGTTTGAATGTTAAGGAGTGCTGTCCCACCAATGGCTGCTGCAAGTAATTAATATTAATTAATTACCCCACAAACATATATTAGATATATAAAAACGTACTTAGATAATTATTTTTTTATCTTTTCTTGCTTTCTAATAAAAATAACATTTGGCGTGGATTTGTGCAGCCCCGACATTGGAAGTGAATTCACAATCCGTAAGCCGCGCAATTGTTCCTTATTTATACTTTCTGTATTATAGCAATTCAATGTTATATTAGAGGTACTTAGCTTAGCTTCATTATTTGCATGCATGCAGGTGGATTCTGGCCGGATTACAATGATGGGACTTGGCCCGCCTGCTGTAATGGTACCACATTTAACGAAAATGATGAGGTATATATATGGGAGTACCACTACTGGAAATTATGGAATTTATGACCACCTGAAAGTGATCTTAAATCAGTCGAAAGTCTTGTTCCGATCACTTTTGGTATTTGGAAAAAACTTTGTTGCTATTTCCGACCATTTTTTTCTTTCAACTGATCACTTTCAAGTGGTCGGAAATTGCATAATTTCCAGTAATGAGTGAATCATGTGTAAAGATAACTTTTCGTGCGGTTATACAGTTATCACAAAATCACACATCTTAAGCATACAAATAAAGTAATGAACTCGCTCAATTATAATGGCCGGATATGGTGATGTTTTATATATGTATGGTAAGCTAAGAGTTAATAATTTTGTATTGTTCCATGATGTAGATCGCACCTATAATGCGACACTTGGAAAGGTATTGGCCATCGTATTACTGCACTTTATCCTCTGCTTGTGGCAGTCCCAAAGGATCAATTTGGGCTTATGAGGTACTAATACCCTACCCGTCTACTGTTTTAATTCTCATTAATTAATTTCCACCATTATATTATAGCTTAATTTCTTAATTAATTATATTGAGTATGAATCTAACTTAATCTCCTTGCCTTTAATTTGCCATTTGATTGGATGATTGGGAAAACAATTGCTCAGTGGGGTAATTAACAATCCTAATTTCACTCTTTTTCATTACTTATACTTTATTTTGTACAAGATGTTAATTTACAAGTACTATTTGATTGTTACAGTGAAACACGGAACATGTGCCTCCCCAGTATTATCAACCCAATATACTTACTTCTCCACGGTTCTATTGTTTTACGCCACTTTAGATGTTACGGTAAGTTAATCACATAAATATTGTTGCTGTTGCTGTTTTGTATAAAACATATAAGTATGTGGCTCGGCTCGGATTACTTGAAAAACATTAAATTTTATATTATATTATTACAATATTACCTTACCTTATTCATTAAGAATTGAGTTTAACTAATTAATAGGGAACTCTGTCGAGATCTGGATATGTAGCATCGGACTCCGCTGAATATCCATTGGAAGGCATCACTTCAGCCATTAAAAATGCTTATAGGGCAACCCCAGTAGTGTCATGCTATGGCAATGCTGTGAAGGAAGTTCAACTATGTTTCAATAAGACGCTCGTGGTTGGGACCTCAGATCATTATGTCTTTTATCATGAAAATATAATATAATATAATATAATATAATAAATCTTCTTAATTATGTACAGCCTCAAGATTGCCCAACTACTGAAAGTGGGATGCTCTCTAAGTCAAGCTCAGGTGAATGCCCTTCAATTGTCACTTTACCAATAAAGAATGTAACACCGGGTAAGTTTTCTTCATGTACTAAAGTGCTAATAAGCTAGAAATTAATGTGTTAACTGCAGTGGAATTGAACCTCACTCTTACTTTAATTTCTTTCTTTTTCTTTGGGTTACAGCGCCGGAGAAAATGAACCACCTTTCATTCCGCGGTGTGCTGAATTCGTAGATCACCAAATGCGTGCAGACTATCCCTTGACCTCTCATCTGCTCAATAATATAATGTTATGAGTTGTTGTATCATCAAAATCTATCAAATCATCATCCCAATGTAAGCACGCTCTTGTAATGAGTGTTGTAATAATAAATAAGATCAAGGGTTCAGTCATTAATTAAATACAACTACTTTAATTTTGACAAAATTATCGTACCATTCGAAAGTCAAAACTCAAAATTCATACTAGTGCTCATCGTCTATGGGTGATATATGAGCACCGAATGATAATAATAGATACTTAGATCAACTTCAATTCAAAAGAAAAATTTATCCAGAAAACTAGTTTAATAAGTGATAGAATTTATCAAAGTTTAAATATCACTTCATTTTTTTTTTTTAATTTTTTTTTAAAATAAAGAAATTAATTCATTAATCATAGTCTGAAACGTTTACAGTAAAGATCGATGGAATGGTCAAACATTCCTTACAGTCAGACATAGAAACAACCTCCCTAGCAATGCTATAGAAAACTTGATTCGCAGACTGTTTCACTTCATAATTTTTTATACCATTAATTTAAAATCATATCACAAAGGATTTACATTAACAAGTTTTGTAGCACCACCTGGCAAATTTTAATGTGGACCATGGTGCATGTAGCAATGTGGTCCATGAAATAAGTATCAGTTTAATTTCACTTCAGTTTCATTTGACAATATTGCTCTATTTTTCAGTTTTGTTTTTTTTTCACACACTAGTTTCATTATAGCAATACCAAAGGATCATTTTAATTCTACTACTGTTTCATTTGACAATATACATTATTGCATGAGCTCTATTTTGTAGTTTCATTTTCCACACACTAGTTTAATTATAGTAATATTAAAGTACTATTTTAATTACACTCTAGGTTCATTTAGCAATATATATTATTGTATTGACTCTGAATTTTAGTTTCATTATAACAATACTAAAGGATCATTTTAATTATACAACAGTTTCATTTGACAATATACGTTGTTGAATGAGGTCTATTTTTTAGTTTCATTTTCTACACATACTAGTTTCATTATAGCAACACTAAAGTAGCATTTTAATTCTACTATAGTTTCATTTGACGACAATGGTCCACCTAGAACTGTGCACCATGGTCCACAGTATAACACCTGCCACCACCTAATGCCAGAAACTAAAACATTTCTCCCCCTTATAAGCATTACGAAAATAGATGATAAGACGTGGGTAGTGAAGCAGGGCCCAAGGTCTTCATAGAGCCTATGTGGAGCTGGACAATAAATAAAAAGTATATTATTTGTGTATATATAAAGTACATTATTTTAATACTGAAAATGCATTAGTAGATAGTAAATAAATATGTAAGCGAACCAAAGTAAAGGCTTACCTAGTAGGTGTGGTATGCGACTGACTGTAGCCTAAGGGAGCGTCAACGGTGGCATCCAACCCCAACCTAATCTTCTTAGTGGGTGGGGCGTTGGTCGGCTCAGCAAAGCACTTGGAGCCTAAGGGAGCGAACGGGCGCGATGTTCGGCCGACGACAGCCAGGCTAGCAGCAGAAGTTGTTCCTCTACTGGCCAGGGGAATGCTGTGGCGTGGAATTGAGCAAGCGGAGTGGATCTTGGGGCAAAATACTGAAGTAACAAAAGAATAAGGTCAAGAAAGTTGGAGGGGCACTCGGAATCCATACCGAACTGACTGGTAGTGGATTCTCACTTAGCCACCAGTAGGAGAGTCGGTAAGATAGTGGTTCCCAAAAGCCATGATTGCGGCAGACACTACTACAAAAAACAGTTTTAACGTCGGTTAAAATACCCCATTTAACGTCGGTTATCTTTCGACGTCAACTTTAAAGACGTCGTAAATAAATGATACGACGTCGATTAAAAAATCGACATCGTATATTTTTTTAAATTAAATTAATTAACATACGGCGTCAGCTTTTAGGTAAAAGCCGACGCCGTATATATTTATTTATTATTAATATAAAAAAATAATTAAATACGACGTCGGCTCGTATAGTATTCTAGAATTGGCAGCACGAGACCTACCATGAGCATGCAACCTTCGTGGTATAAAAAGTAGACATTCTGGAATTGGCAGCACGAGACCTAGCACACTCGTGCAGTTGCTCGTCTCCGGCAGAAGCAACTCTCTGGAATCACCAGTACGAAACCTAGCATGCTCGTGCACTTATGCGAGACAACAACAAAATTGGTCTCCTTCTCGTTTTCACTCCATTTTGACCAAACTACCCTTGAAATGGTCCTTTTTCCCATTCAAAGTGCAAACGTGCCCAAAATAAGTCCATTAACACAATTTATGGGTCATTCTAATTTCTAAGTACAATTGGAAAGTTAACTATTTATAATTCTAAATTACTCATTGCAAAATATTTTCTAACCTTTTAATAACAATAATAATAATAATAACAACAATAATGATGGAGATTTTATTTTTATATTATAATAATAATAATTATATTCATGTCAATTTTTTCTATTCTATTTTTCAACTCTTTTGTTCTTTGTGGCAAAAATTAAAACAAAATAAATATTTACTTAGTTTGATTTAAATCAAATTAAGTAAACATTTTTATGTTTTAAATCTTCATCTTAAAAGAATATAAATGTCTTACTATAATTATTCTAGGAATAGATTGTTTTCTCTTGACATAAATCAAAGTTTATTGTTGTAGCACAATTTTTTTTTTTTTTTATTCCAAATCTATATTTCTATAATTAAAATGTACATTTTATTTCAAGCTAATCTATACTGTGTATGAGATAAAATAATTTCTCTCTATTTAGGAATTTAAATGCAATAATTTTATTATCTAATCAGTTTTATAAGGAAAAAAATTGCAAAAGAGCAATGAGAGTTCATATGTAACAACAATTGAGGTCATAATCATATACACATGAAAAACTTATGGATTCATATGTTATAACTTAATTGCATAGCACTTTAGTTACTATTCGACAACATTAGTAAGCCTATTATAATCATGCCACTTTTTTAAAAAATAAATAAGTTAAGTTTTACTGACTCATCAATATCGAATTAAATAAGAACACTTAATTTATTATAATATGAAATTATTACGACATCGTTTTATTGTCAATTATAATTATCTACAACAATACTCATCTTTATGACTACTTTTATTACAAATTGAAAATACTCAATTTAATTACATTAAAAATAAATATTTTTTATTAATTATTTAATATTTAAAAATTATACTAAATATTTATTTATTTTAATATTAGTGTTGGGGAATAATTTAATTGTGAAATACGCGCATATAAGTGTTATATTATTATTAAATACCATTATATTATTATAGTACTGATAGAACTGGGAGCTAGTGAGCTACTATACATACATATTATATACGTTGAAAACTTGACGTGTGAATAGTTATTTTGAAGAATTATTCGGAGTGATATCTACTACTAATTTATATCATTTTAAATATATTTAGATTTTTTACTATCTTAAATTTAAAATAATATAAAAATTGTCATTATCATAGTACATATAATTAAATAATTTTGTCGAGCTGAGTGCCAACTCATACATGAATGGATGGAGTGACTTTTGGTTGCTTAAAGAGCACGTGTAACTCAACAGTGCAGCTCAAATGGTAAATGAGTTCTTTGTGTGAAAAAAGAATTTTGAGATAACTCAGGTATAATTTTCACAAGTGATGATTTCTTTTGGGTCACTTCTGTGTCTTTCGAAGCGAACTAGGTGGACCTGAACTGTTATACGGACAGAGAAAGACTCGAACCACATTGCAGTTTACACCAAAAAAATAATAATAAGAGCACGTGCTGATTTTCATAGCTATATGTGTAGCTGAGATTCAATATAGAATTGTATTAATGTACTTTAAAATTCTATTATCTCACTTTTACTTCGATAAATAAAAATTAAAGAGTAATAATACGCTTAATTATTCTTAAATGCACTGAATCAACATGACTTATTAACTTACAAGTATTGCATTCAGGAATGTGAATAGCATAAGTAAAATGATATGCAGTTTCTAAGGAATAAAATTCATGTTACATATATTGATTTTTTATAGAGAAATTAAAAAGAAAGAAATGATATAAACAAATATGAGTAGGTGTGTAGCATCAGTACGACATAAATTAATTATGCATGTGTAGTCCAACAGTGTGGTTGAGAATACTCGAGATTGTGATTCAAGGACAATAATGCTAGTTCAACGTGTCAAAAAACTGTGGTAGTTACTAATTGAAGTGATTTATTTAAAACCTGAACAATTTGAACCATTCATTTGATTTAATAATTTGGCGGTCTTTTTTCTACCCAATGTTAATAATTAAATAAATTCGTTGGTCAAATCCGCTAATATAATCCGCGCGCTAACTGCTAATTGTCAAACAAGGACATTGCAAGGTAGTTCTCACTTCAATTTGTTGTGTGATTTGAATACTCTCTTTATCACAAAATCTCTCAAGTAGTTAATATGGTTGGCTTTATTAATTATATATTTTTTTTTAATTTTTTCATGGTATTAATAAAATACTTGGTAAATAAATATATAGCATTATTTTGTATTATAACTTTGATATTTAATTAGAAAAATAGTGCACAAAAAAAGATAATAGACAATGTAGTGAATATAATCAATTGATGAATTTGAATGTAAAAATTTTTACATTTGAGAAAAATAAAGACAATATAACTAATGAAAATATTTCTCTTAATTAATTTATTGATAATGAATAATTTTTTTTTCACTGAATTAAGACATTGTAAGGACAATGTAGCGAATATAATCAATTAATAAATTTGAATATAAAGAATTTTTATATTGTAAAAAAATAAAGACAATATAACTAATACAATTATTTCTCTTATTTAATTTATTGATAATGAATAATTTTTTTTTGAATAAAGGCATTGTGGACACATAATTCTAAATTAAATAAATGCATATCTATAATTTTTTGTTGTAGCTACTAAATTATTATTTATATAATTTAATAAGAGTAAAATAGAGTACTAATTATGCCAACTTTGATTGGGATGAGGTTCGAACCTAAGACCTTTTTTTTTTTTTTTAATTGAAATCAATGAGTAAGTTAACGGTGAACTAACGGCAATTCTTAAAATTTTAACGGAATTAGTAACGGCGTGTGGGTATTTTAGGAAATTTTAGTGTAAAATTTAAATCTTATCAATCTTTTAATCAATCTGAGCCATTCATTTAATTAAAATCTGTGACCGCCATTTTTTCTACCCATTATAGGCCTAACTCTCTTGGGCTCTTATTAGTATAGTATATATATATATATATAGTAGATAGATATAGGGTCAGGTTCCTGTGAGAACAAGGCTTCCCGTGCGGTCAGTGCGGCATACACCATTAGGTATGCATAAATGCGGTGCATTTTTTGGCATTTCATTCTGGTGTATTCTCGAACACTGTATGATGCATTTATGCATACCTAATGGTGTATGCCGCACTGACCGCATGGGAAGACCTGTTCGTACAGGAACCAATATATATATATATATATATATATATATATATATATATATAGAAAATACTATTATCTATAAGATTTTAAATTTAAAAATTATAAAAAAAATGATAATTATGATAAACAAAAAATAATAAAAAAGAATACTTTTATATGTGTTTCTGATAAGAACTTATAGAATTGTATTGAATGAATATAATTACAAATGTACAGCTCATAGGTATATATATATACAAGGAGAATCGTAGGAGACTAGGATAAAGAGTCATAGAAAGACTAGGATAGAGTGTCATAGACTAACTCAAATTTCGTAGCTGACTTTCAGGCTTGCTGCCCAGGATTTGCTCGCAAAAGAATACCAGTAAGCAGTGAATATTTAGGAACAATACTCAGGTTTCATTTGGGACGTCATTTCCAGATTTAAATTGTTTTCTCAAAGGTCAACAACACTCAAGTTTCATTAGAATTTCAACAGACTAAATAATTTCTCTTGCCAGGGAAAAAAGAAAACACTAAACTTAAACAATATCAGTTAATTCAAGTACTTAATAATTTATTAGCCAGTTCTACTGAAATTTTCTCGAGGAAGATCGATGTGTTTCATGCAAGCAATTAAGCTTGGTTGTCAACCCATTACTGCAATGAAGGCCAGGTGGTTATTATTTGGGAAAAAGAAGGGAGCTATGAGGGCTGTGATAATAAACAGTAGAATGCATGTGAAGTAATTATATATAGGTTGGTGGTGGCTTCGGCTCACCGGAGGCTGTAGACAAAAATTCATTTGAGGAATAAAGAAAGAAGCAAACCCTAAATGAAGTAAAAAAAAAAACACAATTGCGACCATTAATTTCGTCGTAATATTTAATCATTTACCAAAAATTTCTTACTTTCGCGACGGAATAAATTCTGTCGCGATTTCCATCGCTATTTTGGAAATCGCTATTTTGCGACGGAAGGTAAATCCGTCGCATTTTTTGTCACTAAATAGACGACATAACTTACATCCATCGCAAATTCCGTCGTGAATATTATGCCGCCAAAATTCTGCGGGTTTTATTTTCTCTTTGTGCCAAAAATCACGAGGGAATTAAATTTTGTCTCGAATTCCGTCCTTAATTTACAATATAATGGAAACTATTCCGTCACGATTCTCTCGCGATTTTTCTTATAGTGCGTGCTAATAATGTGTTGTGAAATCAGACGAATCCTTGCGTGAACAAATATGACAATATACAATAGGGACTAGGGATAAAACGAGAGATACACAGAAAATCATCAATCTTTTATTAATCATCTATCATTCACTATAATATATGCAAGATATACAGAGTTCTAGTATAACTACAATACTACCAAGGATGAAGAGATATTATCATAATATAATACCTTCAGTAATGTCCACATATATTTATTCACAATACATACTACTATTTTTGTTGTTTCATAATTGATAGGTTGATACACTAGAGAAAAAAAGTTTTAGCAAGAAGAAAACTCTCATAGAAGCTCGGCAAATTATAATGTGGACCATAAAAACGTACATTTTTAATATATACTAAAAATACATTATTTGTGTACTGAATGTATATTATACAAAATAATGTACTTTTATTAGTATTCAAATATAATACACTTTCCCTTAAAATAAGGTATACTTTTAATATACTAAAAGTGCATTATTTGATATTGTACAAAAATAATGTATTTTTAATACTAAAATAATGTACTTTATATACACAAATAATGTACTTTTTATTTATGCTCCACACAATAATGCATCTCCATATTGGCTCTATGACGACCCTGGCCCCTGCTTCACTACCCACGTCTTATCATCTATTATGGTACTACTTATAGGAGGGAGACATGTTTTAATTTCTAGCATTAGGTGGTGGTGGTGGTGGTATCTCCAAAACTTGTTAACATAAATCCTTATGTGATATGGTTTTAAATTAATGGTATAAAAATTTATGAAGTGATCCTTTCAAAAAAATATATAAATTATGAACTGATATTTAAACTTTGATAAATTTTATCACTTAGCTTATTAAACTAGCTAGTTTTCTGGATAAATTTTTCTTTTAATTTGAATTGAAGTTGATTTGAGTATCTATTATTATGTATTAGTGCTCATACATCACCAATAGATTATGAGCACCAGCATGTATTTTGAATTTCGACTTTCGAATTGTAGGATAATTTGCCAAAATTAAAGTAGTAGTATTTAATTAATGACTGAACCCTTAATCTTATTTATTATTACAACACTCATTTTACCAGAGTGTGCGTATACATTAGGAGGATGATTTGATAGATTTTGATGATACAACAACTCATAACATTATATTATTGAGCAAATGAGAGGTCAAGGGACAATCTGCACGCATTTGGTGATCTACCAATTCTGCACACCACTGAATGAAAGGTCGTTCATTTTCTCCGACTCTGTAACCCAAAGAAAAAGAAAGAAATTTAAGCAAAAGCTGAGGTTCAATTCCACTACTACAGTTAACACATTAATTTCTAGCTTATTAGCACTTTAGTACATGAAGAAAACTTACCCGATATTACATTCTTTTTTCGTAATTTTGGTAATCTGACCCTTGAAGGGCATTCATCTGAGCTTGACTTATAGAGCAAGCCACTTTTAGTAGTAGGACAGTCTATGGGCTGTACGTAATTAAGAAGATTTATTATACTATACTATATTATATTTTCATGATTAAAGAAATAATGATCTGAGGTCCCAACCTGTAACTTCTTATTGAAACATAGTTGAACTTCTTTCACAGCATCGCCATAGCATAACACTATTGGGGTTGCACTAAGTCTACTTCTAATGGCAAAAGTGATGTCTCTCACTGAGTAATCGGCGGAGTCTGATGCTCTATATCCACTATTCTTCAGAATTCTCTATTAATTAGATAAACATAATGAATAAGGTAAGGTAATATTATAATTATAATATAATATAAAATATAATGTTTTTCAAGTGATCCGAGCCGAGCCGCACACTTCTATGTTTTATAAATAAAAAAAAACCACAGCAATAGTATTTATGTGATAAACTTACAGTAACATCGTAAAAGCGGAGAGCCATTTGAGTCAGGAAGAAGTAATTAAATACGTGATGATATATTACTGAGTTGGCACATATTCCATGTTTCGCTGTACATAACAATCAAATAGTACTTCTAATTAAATTAACATCTTGTACAAACTTAAAGTATAGGTAATGAAAAAGAGAGAAATTAGGATTGTTAATTACCCCACTGAGCAATTGTTTTCCCAATCATCCAATCAAATGGCAAATTAAAGGCAAGGAGATTAAGTTAGATTCATAATCAATATAATTAATTAAGAAATTAAGCTATAATATAATGGTGGAAATTAAACACAATTAGAACAGTAGACGGGTAGGGTACCTCATAAGCCCAATTTGATTCTTTGGGACTGCCACAAGCAGAGGATAAAGTGCAGTTATACGATGGCCACTCATATTCCAAGTATTTCCTTAAACCTGAGATCTACATCATGGAACAATACAAACTTAGTAACTCTTAGCTTAGCATACATAATACAACATCACCATTTCCGGCCATTATGGGGTCGTTTACTAACTTAGAAAAATGGAGAATTTTCCAAAAAATAGAGAAATTGAGAAGTGGAAAAAATAAAAATTGGAGAAGTTGTTTACCAAATATCTTCTTCCAAATGCTTACTCCATCTCCAATCTCCAACTTTCTTAAGGAATTTGGAGAATACAAAATCCAACTTCTCCAAATGGAGAATTGGAAACACACGCGTGAACAATAGCGCCCTTTGACCCTGACGTCCCGTGTTCGACTCTGAGTAGCGCCCTTTGCCATGTTTTCATGATTTCATCCTTCTTCCTCTTCGCGTGCCGTCGCTTCAACTTCTCAAGCTTCTTCTTCATATATTATTATTAAATTCTTATTACTATTATTATTATTATTAAATTATTATTATTATTTCCACTACTACTACTACTACTACTACTATTATTATTATTATTATTATTATTATTATTATTATTATTATTATTTTCACTAGTATTATTATTAGATTATTATTATTATTATTATTATTATTATTATTATTATTATTATTATTATTATTATTATTGCCACTACTACTACTACTATTATTATTATTATTATTAATTTTTGCTAATATTATTATTAAATTCTTATTGTTATTATTATTATTATTATTGCTATTTTATTATTAGTATTATATTATTATTATTATTATTATTATTGTTATTATTATTATTATTATTATTATTATTATTATTGTTGTTGTTGTTGTTGTTGTTGTTGGTTTTATTATTATCTTTAAAAAAAAAAAACTGGAGGAATGGAGAAATATAAAACAGAGGAATGGAGAAATGGAAAATTGGAAGAATGGAGAAGGAAAACTGGAGAAATGGAAAATTGGAAAACTGGAAATGGAAAAACAGAGAGATGAAGTAAACGACCCCTATATATTTGAGTGAGTTATATATATATATATACCTCATTTTTGTTAAATGCTTCACCATTACAGCAGGAGGGCCGAGTCCCATTATTGTATTCTGGCCATAATCCACCTGCACGCATGCATTCTGATGAAGTAATACAAGCAGCAGCACCATTCATAAGCTTTAGTCCCTTTAAGGGCTCTTTTGTCTTTTCACTAGAATGGTTAGTTATAACCGTTTTCTCTTTTTGTTAAGCTTCATATATAAGCTTGCCGTTTTCCTTCCTTAAACTTGTACTCTCATTTTCTTCTTTTCTCCAATCAATCCATGGTTCTTCTTCTTCTCTCCTGCATTGTGTGTATGCTCCAAGCTCATCCAACATGGTATCAGAGCAGCGCCGGAGCTATGCCGGAGCAGTGATAGTGGGAGCAAATGGTGGCGGAAATGGATCGGAAAATGCAGGAGCCTCTTCGAGTTCCGCCAATCAAACACAACGAAACGATGAGTTTGACAATCCTCTGTACTTACACATCACAGAGAATCCGAACCTTGTGTCTAGTTTCACCTCCATTGTCTGAGCTCAACTACTCTTCCTGGAGTAGATCAATGAGGATCGCACTGGAGGTCAAAAACAAATTCGGACTTGCAAATGGTAAGATTCTGAAGCCAGCAGAGAATGATCCACAGTTCGCACCATGGAATAGATGCAATCAGATAGTTTGCTCGTGGATATTGAAGTCTGTGAGTCCTAGCATTGTAGAAAGTGTAATGTACTTCGATAATGCTTCAGACATTTGGAGTGCACTGCAGAAGAGGTACTCTCAGTCAGATCCACATAAGGTCTCTGAGATTCAGAACGAAATTTTTAAAAATACTCAAGGAAACCTAACTGTGAATGAGTATTTCACCAAGAGCAATGCTCTATGGCAGCAGATGAATGCCTTAAGACCTTTGCTACTATGTGAATGTGTTCCAAAATGCTCCTGCACATTAATAAGTAGGATGCAAAAACAAAGGGAAGAGGATCAGATAATCCGATTCCTAGAAGGTTTGAATGAAGAATATGATGCTATTAAGTCAGGAGTGCTGGTCATGGATCAAATTCCAGAAATGGAAAAGGTCCTCAACATGACATTAAAAGTAGAAAGGAAGATCAAGGGAGCTGTTATACAGAAGTCCAGTGATCTGATTCAGTCCAATGCAGTTCACAATGATCAGTCTCAAACTGGGGAAGAACAGTCATTAGTAGCAGTGGCACCTTCCAACAATAAAAGAAAGTTCACCAATGGAGGCAAAAATGTACCTAAGTGTACTTATTGTGGCATGCTTGGTCATACAGTTGAAAAATGCTACAAGAAACATGGATATCCTCCAGGTTGGGTTGCAGGGTACAAATCCAAGAATAAACAGTCTCAGGATGGACAACAGTCATCAAATGCTTCCATTAGCCAAATGAATGATATAGGCATATCTGCTGACCAATTTCAGAAGCTCCTTTCTCTTTTGCAGAACCAGAATAAAGCAGGTCAATCTTCCAGTAATGCAGCTGTGACAGTTGCTACTCCAGGAATCAAACCAACTTTCAGAGACTCCATTGGGGCTCCAAATGAAGGTAGTTCTTCTCCCAAACATCATATTAATATTGTGTTAAGCTCAGATGGTATTTGGATCTTGGACTCAGGGGCTACAGACCATATCACTTGTTCCTTGGATTATTTTGATGTATGCAGAAAGGTGGAAGGGATATCTGTTAAATTGCCTAATAATGAGACTGTCAATGTCACTCACATTGGACAAATTAGGCTTAATAAGAACATTTTGCTGACAAATGTGTTATACATCCCATCTTTCACCTTCAATATTATCTCTGCCAGCAAGTTGACTAGGGAATCAAACTGTAAACTTGTTCTGGCATCTGACTCTTGTGCTGTTCAGGGTCAGCTTGGGAGAGTGGATGGTTTTGCTAGTCAAAGACATGGACTATACTTAATCAATGATCCCCCCACTAAGAAGAAAGCTCAGTCCATTGATAAAACTGTTGGGAATTCTGGTGATATTCATTGTAATACTTTGTCAGTAGAAATGTGGCATAACAGGTTAGGGCATTATCCCATTAATAAAATTCCCACCTTGAATGGAATAAAACATACTCTTGGTCAGAAATGTGTTGATTTTGTTTGTGATGTTTGCCATTTTGCCAAACATAAGAGGCCACCTTTTCCAATTAGCACCTCTAGAGCTGAGCACTGTTTTGATTTGATCCACATGGATGTTTGGGGTCCCTTTGCTGTGGCTTCACTTAAAGGGGAACACTATTTCCTGACAATTGTAGATGACCATAGCAGGTTTACTTGGTTACACATGATGACAAGTAAGTCAGAAGTTAAAACTGTTTTCCAACATTTCTACAATTATGTGCATACTCAATTTTCTGTCAAGATCAAGGTGGTTAGGACTAACAATGGCACTGAATTTTTTATGAATTCCTTCTTCAATGAGAAAGGGATAGTCCATCAGAGATCTTGTGTATATACCCCTCAGCAAAATGGGGTGGTGGAAAGAAAACATCAACACATATTGAATGTTGCTAGGTCCTTGAGATTCCAATCTGGTTTACCCATTCAGTTTTGGGGGCATTGTGTGTTACATGCCTCATACCTTATTAACAGGTTGCCCACTGATGTTGTTAATGGGGAGACTCCATTTCAAGTCTTAACTGGGAAGGGTGTGGACCTTGAACAGCTTAGAACTTTTGGATGCCTGTGTTTTGGTGCCACTACTCCACAAGGCAGAAATAAGTTACAAGCAAGAGCAAGAAAGTGCATTTTTTTAGGCTATCCAGCCAATGTGAAGGGGTACATCTTGTATGATGTAGATGACAAAACTATTTTTGTTTCAAGGGATGTTAGATTCTATGAACTAATCTTCCCTTTTAAGTGTCAAAGCTCAACAGATATTCCTAAGTCTGCTACTGAAGACAGTTCTGGTCCCTCACTACCTTTGATTCCTATCAAAATAGAAGAAGAGATCACTCCTTTGAAGCCTTACCACAACAGAAATCCTGAGTGTAATGATGGCATGGTCACTGAAGAGATTGATCAGACAACTGCCAACAATGATGATATAGTGCCTATTTCTCATGAAACTGATGATCATATTGATGATTCAGTCAGTGATACTATTCTGGTCCACACTGAAGATGATGGAGCTGCTATTCAGTCACATGGCCACACACAACCTAGGAGGTCAACAAGACAGAAGGTCATTCCTCCTAGGCTTCATGACTACTACTGTCATTCTATGGAAGGAAGTCAGACAAAAAAAAAAGAACTTCCCCCCATCCTATTCAGAAACACATGACATGTGACAATCTTTCTCCCAACCACAAAGTATGTGTCTCTTCCATAACATCTTCTCATGAACCACAATCCTATCATGAGGCTGTCCAACACCAAGCTTGGAGAGATGCTATGCAATCTGAAATTCAGGCTTTAATTGAGAACAACACTTGGTCCCTTACAGAGTTACCCTCAGGAAAGGCACCAATTGGTTGTAGATGGGTTTACAAAGTGAAACACAAGTCAGATGGGACTATAGAAAGGTACAAGGCCAGGTTGGTTGCCAAAGGCTACACTCAACAACTAGGGGTGGATTACATTGAGACCTTTTCACCTGTGGCTAGGATGACTACTATAAAGACCTTCTTGGCAGTAGCAGTGGCTAAGGGCTGGGATATCCAACAGCTTGACATCAATAATGCTTTCCTACATGGAGACTTGGATGAAGAAGTTTATATGGTTCTACCCCCAGGGTTTGAGAGTGAAAAGCCTAATCAGGTTTGCAAATTGGAAAGGTCCTTGTATGGTTTGAAACAAGCTAGTAGACAGTGGAATGCTAAGCTAACTAAAGCACTGCAAAATGATGGTTTTCAACAATCCTCTGCTGATCCATCTTTGTTTACCAGGTCTGAAGGCAGTTCCTTCATTGCTTTACTTGTTTATGTAGATGACATCTTGGTGGCAGGCACCAACTCAAAACAGATACAAGCCTTGAAGCAAATGTTGGATGATTCCTTCAAAATCAAGGATCTTGGCCAGTTGAATTACTTCCTAGGGATTGAGGCACTCAGAAATCCAAATGGGATCAACTTGTCTCAAAGAAAGTACACCTTGGATATATTACAAGAGAACAGTTTCTTGCATGCTAAGCCTGTTAAAACTCCATGCACTCCAGGACATAAGCTTACAAGCACTGATGGGAACCTATTGAGAAATCCTGAGAATTACAGGAGGCTGGTTGGTAAGCTTTTATATCTAACCAATACCAGGCCTGATATTGCTTATGTTGTGCAACAACTAAGCCAGTTTGTGGATAAGCCCAGAGACACACATCTAACTGCAGCTCACAGGGTGTTGATGTATCTCAAAGGCTCTCTTGGAAAGGGGTTGTTTTATGCCTCAAACTCTGAGATTAAGCTGCAAGCTTTCTCTGATTCAGACTGGGCCAATTGTACAGAAACAAGAAGATCTATTACAGGCTATTGTATTTACCTTGGATGCTCTCTTATCTCTTGGAAAACTAAGAAGCAGGCAACAATTTCAAAATCTTCTGCTGAGGCTGAATATAGGGCCTTGGCCTCTACTGTTTGTGAAATCCAATGGTTGCTGTATCTTTTGGCAGATTTGAAGGCAGATTGCTGGGGTCCTGTTGCTCTATTCTGTGATAATAACTCAGCTGTGGCAATTGGTGAGAATCATGTGTTTCATGAAAGGACCAAACATATAGAAATAGATTGCCATATAGTCAAACAAAAGGTTCTTCAAGGAATTGTAAAGCTGTTGAGCATTCCTTCACATAGTCAAATAGCTGATGGCTTCACCAAGCCATTGCCTATACCTCTATTTACCAAGTTTCATGCTAAGTTGGGCCTTCAAGATCTTCATGCTCCAACTTCCGGGGGGGGTGATGAAGTAATACAAGCAGCAGCACCATTCATAAGCTTTAGTCCCTTTAAGGGCTCTTTTGTCTTTTCACTAGAATGGTTAGTTATAACCGTTTTCTCTTTTTGTTAAGCTTCATATATAAGCTTGCCGTTTTCCTTCCTTAAACTTGTACTCTCATTTTCTTCTTTTCTCCAATCAATCCATGGTTCTTCTTCTTCTCTCCTGCATTGTGTGTATGCTCCAAGCTCATCCAACACATTCATGCAAAACAACATAATAATATTGCTATATATATTACAGTTGTATGGAAGACGGCGGTTTACGGATTGTGAATCCTCTTTTAGCTATGGGTCTGCACAAATCCACGCCAAAATGTTATTTTTAATAGAAAACAAGAAAGGGTAGTTTTTATATATATAATATATGTTAGGGGTGGGCAAACCATTGGTCAGTTACATATATTATAGGTTTGTGGGGTAATTAATATAATATAATATAGTATTAATTACTTGCAGCAGGCATTGGTGGAACAGCACTCCTTAACATTCAAACACATGGTGCCAGACCAAACAAGAGAGAGGGTGAAGTAATCAAACTCTGGGTCCTTGGCTTTTAGTGGCGCAACTGCAATGCCGAGTAACAGTAGAAAAAGAGGGAGGATTATGAGTTTGGGCAGAGAAGCCATGGTAAGAGAAAAGCAAAGCAAAACAACTCTACTAAAAGATGGGAAATCAGGTTGCATCAACACCACTATTTATACTGAGTTAGAGATAACTAGCTGGTCCCGCACATCGGTTGTCTTCTTTACTATGTTATATCAAACAGCTATCAGCTAACAACTAATTTACCAAACACCTTTCAACAATCAGCTAATGTTATCAACTAGTTATACCCTCTAATTAACTCAATCAGCTAATAGCTAACAACCATTTACTAAACAAGGTCATATTATCTAACCTGAAATTACTACCTGAACTCCCATTTCTTATTCCCAACTTTTACTCTTCCTCACAAATTTTTGATGTAGACATTTTTCCTGTAATTTACGAGATGAAAGTATCCAATTCTAATTTACCATAATGAAATAAAAGTTAGAGAATAAAATTTTGAATTACACGTGATAGAACTCTATTCAACCTCAGCTCCACATATAGCTAGGAAAATCAGCACCTGTTCTTATTATTGTAAGCAAACAAAAGTCACTCCGATCCATTCATGTATGAGTTGGCACTCCAAAAAAAATTATATGTACTATGATAATGACAATTTTTATAACATTTTAAATTAAAAATTGTTAAATTATATTATTGTAACATTTTCATTTGCGAGTTACAATATTACAATTGATGAAAATTGTAAAATTATATCGTTAGATAATAATAAAGTCTAAAATTATAAAATTATATTGTTATTTAATAAAATATTTTGTATTAGAGTCTAAAAGATTTTATCACAAATTGATTCATCCAGTAATTAAGGTCAATAGGCCATAGTATGATACTATTATTAGAATTTCATTACATTTCATATATGTTACTCACTCCATCCTGAATTGATTGTCTCATTTGTTTTTTGCACGATTTTTAATACAACATTACAAATGTTACTAACTTTCCAATTTTACCCCCCAAAAGTAGATGTTATTTGTACAACTAGAAATTTGAAAAGTAAAAAAGATAAATTGGGAAATATAGAGTGATAGTTATGTTCAATTTTGGAAAGATAACGCTATTTTGGGTCAAACTAAAAAGTAAAGTAAGACATGTAAAATGGGACGGAGGGAGTATTTCTTAACTTTATATAATTTTACAATATTTAAAACAAATAAATATAAATATATTATACTAAATATATAGGCATTTTCAAAAAAAAAATTAGAATGATAAAATTAATGGTAGAATTTGGACATTTTAAAATAGAACATAGAATTTTACAAAAAAAAAAAAAAGTTTGAACCGACGGTTCAAATCGAAACTGTTGATTTATGAACCAGAACCGGAATCTTTATACCGGTTGGCCATTTTTGGAACCGAAATTGCCGTTTTTGAACCAGAACCTAATCGGAATCGGAACCTTAGCCTGGTCATCTCTAATTGGAGTTTGCAGTTTAGTTTTGAACAATGGTTTTGTTTTGACATTAGGTAAGACATTTTCTAATCATAGTTTCTCAAGGAACTTAGTTTTAGTTTGAAGACATATACCCTTTGGCTTCAAATTTGAATGTTTTTTCAAAGAATTTCAAATTTGAATTTAATCACAAGTGTTTTAAGTTATTTAATAAATATACTTGTGTTGGTAATGATACATTGTCTAATGGTATTTATCGTCTTAACTTAAAGAATAATTCAATTACAATTCTTAAAATGTTCAAAACATCACAAAATGGTCTATTATTAAACAAAATTCCTCAATGTAATGGCACTGGAGATTAGGTCATATCTCTGTTGAACATATTAAGAGATTGGTAAAGGATGAAGTACTTTCTATTCTAGAATATACTGATTTTGAAACTTGTGTTGACTACATTAAAGGTAAGCAAACAAACAATTCAAAGAAAGGTGCCAATAGAAGTTCAACATTGTTGGAAATTATACATACTGACATATGTTATCTTGATATGGACATGTTTGGACCTTCATTGATGACTTCTCAATATTTACCTATGTGATTTTACTTCATAATAAACATGAAGCATTGGATTCCTTTAAATTATTTGAAGTTGAAGTTGAAATCAAATGTAACAAGCAAATACAAATAGTTAGATATGATAGGGGTGGCGAATACTGTGATAGGTACACTGAAAATGGACAAGCATCAGGTCCCTTAGTTAAGTTTCTTCAAGAGCATAGGGATGTTGTTGGTTCTCTAGACAAAAAAGGGTGTTGCTGAAAGAAGAAATTGGATCATTTTGAATATGGTGCATAGTATGCTAAGCAACACTGCGCTTCCGAAATCGTTGTGAGCTGAAGAACATAAAACACCCATATATATATATATATATATATATATATATATATATATATATATATATATATATATATATATATATATATATATATATATATATATATATATTAAATCGTGTTCCAACCAAGGCTATCCCTAAGACGCCGTTTGAGTTATTCAAAGGTTGGAAATGAGATTGCAACATATGTGTGTCTGGGGATGTCTGTTTGAGGTGAGAATATATAACCCACACAAAAAGAAACTTGACGTGAGGACGATAAATGTTTTCTTTATTGTATATGCACAATCTTCTAAGGGTTATAAGTTTTATTATCCATCTCATACTACTAGGATAGTGGAATCGTGGAATGCTATGTTGGTCCCGAAGGGTTGGGGTAAAACTCTAGGGGGGGGGGGTGAATAGACGTTTATGCTTTTGAAATTTTACGATTCGCTCAAGTTGACCGAATGGTAACTTGAACGTTTCATAGAGATTGCACATTGGAAATTTTTTAACCCTTTTAAGTGGGTTGCATGTATTGTTTACATTTAAAAATGTTAATATCAAATCGTGATGTATGAAAAATAGCAGTAAAGTAAAGATAGAGAGAGAGAGGAGTTTTTATAGTGGTTCGGCTAAACTTAATCTACTCCACTCTTCTCCTTAAATCTCCTAAGGAGGTTTGCACTAATTCCCTTTAGTACAAAGAAGAACGTCCAAGCCTTGAACACTAAGCTGGCCTTGGCCTTCTCATGTTTTTCCACTCAACACCGAGTCTACTCCGTCTCTTTCTAATTCTATCAGGTAGAGTTAAAGAGTATTGAAGATAAAATTCTTCAAACACCAACTTGAAAACTTGGTTGTAGAAGATCTTGATCTTCATGATTTGAGCAGCACAAACTTATAAAATTTGATTATGACTTTTAGCTATTGATCTCTCTAACTGGTCACGAAATATGGAACTAGAATACTTTGAACAGTTAATGAATTTTTTCTTAATTGATCAACTCATTCTTTAGGATTGAATGAAGGTATTTATAGGTGTTTAGAAATGTGTCAGTTGGAGGGAAACCCATTTCAAACAACTATTGACCAACGAGTAAAGACCAACGTGTAATCTAGAAAATGTGGCTTTCGCATGTAAGACTTTCCAACCGTTAAACTACTTAATTTGCGTTGAACATATCTTTGTGTTCTGCACAAACGTCTAGGCTTTATGAGGAAAATTTGCCTTAGGATGTGTACCTAGGACTCACTTTGCCTTGGTCACATTTTACATTAACGCACTAGTGTTTTAAAGTTTCAAATTGTTACCTTAAAGAATATAATGTCTCTAGAAGTTAACATTTTGCTACTTCTCGGTTACGAATGGATGTCCTTACCATTTGTTCCTTTCATTATTTCTTCTTCACTTTAAAAGGTATGCCCTTCCATCATTCGGCCAATGCAACCTTTCGGTCTTGTAGTCTTCAACTCTTCAACTCTTATGATCTTCAATCCTTTAAGGTTTATTCTTTTCCGTCCGAAAGGTAACTATTCGGGTTACCATTCGGGATGTCTTGACTTATCCGAAATGTAACCTTTCAGATCACCGAACTGACTTTTGAAGTTGTAAATAGAGTTTCTGAGTCTAAAAGACAAAAGAAGTTGGGGACTAAAATTTCTAACTTTTGGTATCATCAAAATCTAACATATAAATGTTCCTAACAATATATAGACGCCGACATCCAAATATAGGCAATATTATACTTAAAAAAAACAAGCAAGAAGAAATGAAAAATATTGATCAGTTTCCATTGAAGAACACTATATCGATTATGAAGAAATTAAGTCTCTAATTTTCAACAGTGGTGATCCTTTAAAATATGAAATAAATTGTCATATCTACAATTAAAAAGAAAAAAAGATACTACTACCCCACTCTAAAAAAAAAAAATCAATCCATATCATTTTAGGATTTCAAATCTAAGTCATCCAAATAAAAACAACAAATGCACAAGATTAGTTCTAACATTATGACTTGGTAAGTGGTTTTATTTGTACGCAATTCTATATATATATATATATATATATATATATATATATATATATATATATATATATATATATATATATACACACATATATATATACATATATATATATATATACACACACATATATATATACATACATACATACATACATACATACATGTATGTATGCATGTATGTATGTATGTATATAGAGTCGAGTTCCGGTGCGGCACCCCCTTCCCGTGCGACGGTTTTTAGAATACACCAATAGTTAAGCAAAATATACACCACACCATCAACATTAAGAAATGCACTACAAAAACACACACAAATTAGGTAAGCATCACCAACAACACAAATTAGGTATGACTAAAAGCACCACACAGTGTTCAGAAATACACCATTAGTGGTAGAGAGGTATATGGTGTATTTTCTTGGGTGTGTTGTGTATTTTTGCATTTCATTGTTGTGTGTTTCTCTTACACTATTAGTGCATATTGTTAACACTAATTGTGTATTCCGAAAACCGCCGCACGGGAAAAGGGCGCGACATTTGAACCCCCCCCCCCCCCCCCCACACACACACACTGTAACACTCCCGATTTTCAGCATAATTTAAAACCATTAAAGCTTACGAAATAAGAGTAAGTCTATCATTAATACCCAATTAAACGGAACCCAAACATAATAGTGTAGGCGTGCTATGCCACATCTACGCTTGAGAACCTAGATGCACATTCTACTAACTATTTAATCATAATCCATAAACACCACCC